GAGGTTTCCTTTTTAAAATAACATAAAAAATAATCATTAGAATAACTTAAAAATAGGATTCAGACCAAATATTAATGTATTACTGGGATTAACAAGTCAAATTAAGTCATATCTCTGGAACCACTCAAGATATCAGAGTGATCCACAAAATGTAGCTTTTAAAACCGAGACTCTGAAAATGTGGTTCAGTCATTTTGGACAAATTTGACTTATGTGATGGTCACATATTATAAAATAGAAGTGAATGGTGCAGGTACTTTAAATGTACTCACCTTAGGGCGTGACCTCTGACCCTTTCTGCCTCTGTGGCCGTGGTCATGTTCAGCAGTTTCTGTGAGGTTCGAGGAATCTGAGAGGGATGAGAACTGAGGTCAGGTTTTTAATTGGGCGCCGTGTCGTGTGCTTCGGTGTGTTTGGGTGATTACGCTCACAGGTGCTGGGGCGTGGGACAATGGTCAGCCGCAGAGTGTTTCCTGCTCGGCGGAGAATCTGCGAGAGCTCCCGATGGGGCACGGTCCCCACCGGCCTCCCCTCCACAGCCTCCAAACGATCCCCAGCTCGGATCTGGCCGCTCTTCGCTGCCGGGCTGCCCCGCCGGATGGTCACGAAACGATGGGGGAAAAGGGACGCAGCTGAAAGCAGGACAGACCAAAATAAGTTTACAGCAGGACTTTAATCACGTTCATTTATAGGCAGGAATAATTCTCAACAACACACGTCCCAAAAATCACTGCTTTCCTTCATAAATTACTTCCCCGCAAAAAAGTTTTTGTTATCATTACACCTCCCCTTTGTCCCCTTGAAACACCTCTCCTCTTCTTCTTACTCCATTTTTCATCCTACCTCACCTTGCTGCCACACCAGTAACACTTTGTCCTGTTTAATCATTTGTCTTTCATCTCAAGAACGAAGCACAACAGAATGTTAGTGTGCCAACGATAAGTTTTCACCCTGAATCTGTCAGACTGAACACAACAACACACTCAGAATATTTACACTAAACTTTAGACCAGGGGTATCCAAACTACGGCCCGTGGTCCAGGTTTTATTGGCCAGTAAGCAAATTCTGAAAATATAATTGAACATGGTCCACACAAGAAGTTTGAGCTCAACTCTGTTGCACTTCTCAGTTTCAACACTGAATGAAGCCAGCCACAGAAATGAAATTATAGAGAAGAGGAGAAGAGAAGAACCTTTTTGTGACTGCGACACTACGTTCAGTTTGAGTCTCCAGAAATGGCGGCGCCGAAGAAACGAAAAATAGCGAGTGTAGAAATAATGAACACACATTCACAGAAATAATGTGCCCAGAAAAAGTGCCTGATTTCAACAATGTGAGCTTATCTAGAAATACGGTGGTGCGGAGAATTGAGGACTTGTCGGGTAACTTGAAACTTCAGCTGGGAGACAAAGCTTGTGGTTTTGATTTTTTACTCGATAGCATGTGATGAGAGCACGGATGCCACAGACACCGCGCAACTGTTAATTTTTTTGCGGGGAGTAGATGATAATTTTTGCTTTACGGAGGAGCTGCTTGATATGATGAGCCTAAAAGGCACAACGACAGGAAAAGATRATTTTGAAGCTGTGTCAGAGGCAGTTGAAAAGATGGGGCTTAAATGGGACAAGCTCTGTGGARTAACAACGGATGGAGCTCCGGCCATGACGGGCGAGCGCAAAGGAACGGCATCGTTGGTGTGCACCGAGGTAAAAGAGAGCGGAGGTGAGGCTGTTAGGATGCACTGTATAATCCACCAAGAAGCACTGTGTGCAAAGACTGTCCAGCTGGGCGACGTGATGAACACGGTTGTAAAAACTGTCAACATAATTCGAGCTAAAGGACTGTACCACAGAGAATTTCAGGCTTTCCTTTCTGACGTGGATGCTGAAAACGGAGATGTACTCTACCACTCTGATGTGCACTGGCTCAGCATCATCCAAAGGACAGCATCACTGCTCCCACTGATAGGGCTGTGTATTGGCAAGAATTTGGCGATACGATACATATCATGACAGAGGGGTCACGATACGATATATCCCGATATATTGCGATACTGTAAACAAGGCAATATATTGCGATATTTTTGGTCCAAAAATTCTATTAAATAAAAACCTCTTACAGGGGAAAAAATGAAAAACCAAAATTCATTGTCTCAGAAAATTCTAATATTACATTGTCATGCTTTTGATACATTTAGCTGTGTTCTGCTTTGTATGTATTTTATTTTATTTGTTTTGTATTTCTTA